ATTGGACCACGAGGGAAGTCCCTCCATTATGGTTTATTACAGTATATTGAATATAGTTCTCTGTGCTATACAGTATGTCCTTGTTGTTTATCTATTTTACATATAGTAATTTGTATCTGCTAATCCCAAACTCCTAATTTATCCCTCCCCCACTCCCTTTCCCCTTTGGTAACCATAAGATTCTTTAAAAAATTTTTTTTGTAGAAGTATAGTTGATTTACAATATTGTATTTGTTTCAGGTGTATAGCAAGGTGATTCAGTTATATATATACATATATTTTTTGAGATTCTTTTCCATTATAGGTTATTATAAGATATTGAATATAGTTCCCTGTGTTATACAGTAAATCCTTGTTGCTTATCTTTTTTATGTATGGTAGTTTGTATCTATTAATCCCATACACCTAATTTATCCCTCCTCCCCCCTCTTTCCCCTTTGAACCATAAGTTTGTTTTCTATGTCTGTGAGTCTATTTCTGAGGAACTAAAGATTCTTAATTGCTCTTAGACTGAACAAGGTGTTTGTATTTTCACCTCTCATGTGAAACTTATGCTTATTAAAATGTACCTTACTAATTACTTTGAGGCCCTGAAGCCCACACAGATGTGCCCAAGTTTTGTATCATTTCCCATTACAGGGTATCCTGTTACTGAAGTAGATATGATTACCTCTTTGGAGAAGAGAGGACTTTGGATCATAGAGAGAGAAATCTCAAGTTCGAGTTGTACAGGTAAATAAGAAATGAATAGGTGGGAGATGATGAGGGTAAGACTCCAGTGTGTCAGTGAGTGCCAGACATCTCTTAAAGCTCAGAAATATCTTCCTAAAGCATATGAACTTTTCTTTTCTAACTCCAAATTGTTAGTTTTGTGAGTTACTGTCTCATGGTAATCTTGGAATGAGATGGAGAGGAACTTGACTATAATTGGCCTTGTCCTTCTGCTTCTTCCCTTGGTCACCTCAGTTATTTTCAGCCTTCCTGAAAGGCTCTTTCCATCCTATTTTGAGTCCCCTCCCTCCAAATCCTAGATCTAATACCATTTCAAAAAATCCTTTTTTCCTACTCAGTGGCTACCTAAACCTATTTTCACTTTCTCTCCTTTTCTTAAACAATCAAAGTCACTTATATTTATTGTTACTCTCCTGTTCCAATATCTATTAGAGCAATTTGAGCTTTTTTCCCCTTAAGCTCAGCATATCGGAGAGACATGTGCTTCGAATTTCTTTCTGACTGGTATCTAGTCAAAAGAAAATAAAAGTCAACCCTACAAAGGTCTGCTTCTGACAAAAGGTGTATTCACACGGTATGGTTTATTATTCTTCTTTCTAGAAGTCTGGCAAGTTGACCAGCTGGAGAGGTACCAGAAAAACCAAAACAGACACCTGAGGCAAGCTATATCCATTAATGAGAAAAATTTGACTAAGGATAGAGGTCACGAATATAATGGATTTGTAAACCCACTTGCTCAGAGCACAGGGGTGGTTTCTTCATTACACACTCCCTATATATATGACTCAGAAAAGTTTTCAAGATAATTAGGGTTTACTCGGTCATAATAGAGGCTTTGCAGCTCAGAATGTTATGAATGTAATGGATGTGGAAAATTATTAATTCATGGCAGGCTTGAGAAAAATAATGGAATGAAATCCCATGACCATAATGTGGGTGGGAAAGGTCATAAGCATAACCCATTCTTTGTTCAGCATAATATAACTCAAGCTGGAGAGAAAATCTGTTAATTTCCTGAGTGTAGAAAAACTTTCAGCAAGAATTCACTCCTTATTGCTCATCAGATCACTCATGTAGGAGAAAAACCCTACAGATGTACAGAATACAGAAAAGCCTTCAACAAGAAGGCACGCTTCAGTGTATATCAGAAGTACAATGCACAAAAGAGAGAAACTCTTTGAATGTAATGAATGTGGCAAATCCTTCAGAGAGAAATCAGCACTGCATATACATCAGAGAACGCACACAGGTGATAAACCATATACATGCAACGAATATGGCAAAGCCTTCCAAGAAAAGACAAAGCTCATTATATATCAGAGAACTCACACAGAAGAGAAATCCTGTGAATGTAATGAATGTGTGAGAACCTTCAATCAAAAGGTACATATCAGGGCTTCCCTGGTGGTGCAGTGGTTGAGAGTCCGCCTGCCGATGCAGGGGACACGGGTTCGTGCCCCGGTCTGGGAAGATCCCACATGCCATGGAGCGGCTGGGCCTGTGAGCCATGGCCGCTGAGCCTGCCTGTCCGGAGCCTGTGCTCCGCAACAGGAGAGGCCGCAACAGTGAGAGGCCCGCGTACCACAAAATAAAAAACAACAAAACAAACAAAAAACAGGTACATATCAGAGAACACACACAGGAGAGAAACCCTATGAATGTTAATGAATGTGGCAAATCCTTCAGAGAGAAATCAAAATCGCGTAGACATTAAAGAACTCATACAGGAGAGAAACCTTATGTGTGTTCAGACTGTGGAGGAGCCTTCACCCTTAAGCTGAATCTCAGTGCTCATCAAAGAATTCATACAGTAGAAAAAACTATGGATGTACTGTATGTGGGAAAGTCTTCTCCCTGAAGTACTATCTTGTGTTACATTGGAGAGCTCATACAGGAGAAAAATTTGAGAAATCCTATGAATGCAATGAATGTGATAAAGTTTTCTTCCAGTAGTCATATCTCATTATTCATTTGAGAGTTCACACAGGGGAGAAACACTATGAGTGTAATGTATGTGAGAAAGCTTTCTCCCTGAAATCATATCTCGTTATACATCAAAGAACTCACACACGAGAGAAACCCTATAAATGTGATAAGTGTAGTAGAGCCTTCAGAGAGAAGTCAAAACTCACTCTACATCGAAGAACCCACGTAGGCGAGAAACCCTATGGCTTTCCTGAATATAAGAAAAACCTTCCAGAAGTTAAAGTTCATCATGGATTAAAGAACTCAGAGAAAAGAGAAACTTTGCAAAAGAACTGAAAATGGAAAATCCTTCATAAAAAAGTGAAAGGAAAAGAAAAAGGTGAGGTGAAAGGATCATGCCTTAGCTAAGGTGGTCAGGGAAGGTCTTTCTAAAAATAAGGAGCCAGCCATACTGGGAGTAAGAACATTCCAGGCATAAAGAATAGCAAGAGCCAAGATCCTGGTGCAAAATACTTGGCCTCTGTAGTTGTTATCATGGGTGTATAGTGAATGACTATTTTACATCAGAGAGGTTGTTCAAGACTGCAGTCCTTTGAAGCCTTGAATATATGAAAACCAAACCTCATGGTAAATCTGGGCACAGGTATCAAGAGAAACCCAATTTAATTGATTTCGATAAACATAGTCCCATGGCAATGATATTAAGGGAAATATTCCAGATTTAATATCAAACTCTCATAGAAAAAAACCTAATACAGTCTATTATGAAGAACAGCTGCTTTCACATCTTCCATAATGGGGAATAAGTGCTATCTACCGAAAAAAGAGTTTATCAAATGATATAAAATTAGAGGTTTAAAGATAACCACTAAAGGAATAACAATGATAAATATACTATAAATGTTGTAAATTATTAGAAAGGATGCATAATCGGAAAAATGTAAAGGAAACACTAGAGCATCAAATCCAGTTTTCAGAAGTAGCAACAGTTGATAATGCCAATATTCTTGCCCCAACCTATTCTACGTTCAAGATTTTGGCTTCTTCTTTGTGTGGACCTTCCCCCTGTCTGAGCTAGATCATGCAGTCTTCCCAGAAGTACTATGAGCTACCTGATAGGCTTTTAGGAGATCTGCTTTTTACTTAAATTCACCAGAGTTTATTTATGCTGCTTTTGATAAATAACTATCTCATTCAGAAATTGGTATCCAGAGTGATGATACCTTTAACGGACCCCAGGGAAATGCAAGATTTGGTTATCTAGGCTGGTTGGGACTGAAGGCAGGGGAAATCCACGTGGCATTAAGGAAGGGGGTTCTGGCATTCCTTGGCATGCAGTGGCAGATAACTGCTTTAATGATCATCTGTGCTTATCTGGATGAAGTCAACACTGAAAACAAGGCTTTGGGTAGTTGAATATCCACCCCAACCAAAGAGTACAGAGGACGTGAGGGACTGCTTCCTCATGGGGGTGGCTGCTTCCAATGGGGCTGGTCAGCACAAAGAGAAAGAATGGCAAGTTCAAATTCCGAAATTCTCTGCTCAAGACATAGACCGAAACCTGGGGATTCTGTAAAGATAATTATTACCTTGTGCATCCATTGAATTCCTGGCCTAAATTTCCAGTTTGTCATTTGAAACTTTGGTTACAGATCATGAAAGAAGGAGTTGGGGGCTAAGAGTTAGAATGGTAATAATGTGGGAGGATGTGGGAGAATGTGAATACTTTAAAATCCTAATTCCCACTGAGCTTTCTCTGTAAGCTGAAACCAATTCCATTTTCCCCTGAAGAGACTGTATCTACCTTAATTAAAGACCCTGTAGTTACTTCAACTGAGAGTGATACTTTTTAAGGGAAGCCAATTTTCATACCTCCCCACCTCACCCTTCTATTTCCAGACCTAGAATTGTCTTGTGTACTAAACACTTTATGTGCTTTACAAACATTAATTCATTTAATTCTCTCAACAACCCATGAGATAGTTACTACCACTATCATCCTCATTTTGCAGATGAGGAAACTGAGGCACAAAGAAATTAAGTGCCTTACCCAAGGCAACATGGGGACAGTAAGTGGTAGAGATTGTTTCTGAACCCAGGAGAACCTATGCTCTTAATCACTACATTATCCTCCACCCCCACCCTGAGTGAGCTTGTGTCCCCTGATTACAGCTTTGAATATATGGAGGGAGTGATTGAATAGGGGTATCTTCAGGCATTGGAAAAATGAAGAGAGTCAGACATCAGGGGTCTCTTGAATTGTTTATAGATATCATCCTTTATTAAATCCACAAAAGAAAGGACAGAAAGGAAAATGAAATCTCTATCTCTGGGAAGCTGAGTCATGAATTAATTTCTGTTGTGTAAGGTTTTGCATATATATGACACCCCTTGAGCCATTCAGATAAATCATGGCCAGAATAGTGCTGGCTCCAAGAATCCCTGGGAAATGAAGGGAGAGAGGGAGGATGAAGTGGACAGGCTGATGGGGTGGTAGTGCCACTATCCCGGCTGCCCAGAGTCCAAGACATCCCCATGAGACTTCCCAGGTATTCATACTGTTTTGTGAGGACACTATCTGCTTGGCACACATGATGTCATCCAGAATATGGCGGTTGAACAGTTCTAGGAGGAAGAGAGGGATATAGTAATCTGGTGTATTGGGGACAGGGTGACAGTGTATGAAGGGACAAGGGGTTCTGGGTTTCTTGGGGCCTGAATAACTTCAACCACTATATTGCCTGATTTTAGATGACCTTGATTCACTTATTAGCTGGCTATGAATTACATCAACTGCCATGTTGACTGGTTCTGTACAACCTTAACTCATTGACTGATCCTGAGTGATCTTGACTGTCATGTTTGTTGGTTATGAATAACCTCAACCACCATATTGGCTGGTCCTGGACAACCTCAGACTCCATGTTGGCCAGTTCCAGATGACTTCAACTGTCATTTTGTGTGGTTATGAATGATCTCAAATGCAATGGCTGTTGGCTGGCTGGAAAGCCACTTCACTGCAAGGTTGGTCAGTCCTGGGGACTCTTCAAACACTATGTTGTCAGGTCCTGGATAACATCAACACCCATTTTTACTAGTTACAAGTGACCTCAGTCTCTATGTTGGCTAGTCCTGTTCAATGTCAGCTACCATGGTGCCTGGTCCTAGATGACATCAACTGCTATGGTGGCTAGACGAGGATGACCTTAACTGCCATTCTGACTAGTTAATGATCTCAACCACTATGTTGACTAGTCCTGGATAACCTCAGCCTTCAAGCTGGCAAGTCCTGGGTGATCTCTTCTGTCACTGTGGCAGGACTTGGACAACTTCAACCTCCACTTGGGCTGGTCCCAAATAACCATAGTCTCCATTTTGGCCTATCTTGGACAACCTCAAACACCATTTTGGTCAACCCTGAACAACTTCTACTGCTATTCAATTTTGTCCTCAACAATACCACACTCTCGTCTGGAAAATTCTCTCCTTTCTGCACAGAGGTACCTTGTTTCTGTTCCTACAGACAGATATCTGCTTCTTCCTTCAGGGCCTGGACAGCCCCAACCCCAAATCAGGACAGTTTCCCCCTCCATTCCACTTGGAGCTAAGTGTATTGTTTCCTGAGTCCTAGAAAATGGCAGTCTCCATTCTAGGTGAGGTTTGGGAGCTCTGAGTCCTCCTTACCTAGACAACATCTCAGTGCAGTCTGGGTAAGGATACAGGCTGGTGTCTGTAACAGCCCAGGCAAGTCTGCTCCTTTCCCTATCATTTTTCTGCTTGTTACTCAAGGCTATGGCTTAGACAGTCTTGCCCTCTGCGTGTTGGGGAGTGAGGCCAGGCAGGGCTTCAAGGTGTCCTCAATGCTGCCTCACCATGACACTCCATGTGACAGAGGTTCTGGGTAGGTGTAACACCACTGTCACACCACCAGGTGGAGTTCAGCTGGAAAATGCCATATGCACTGCTGCCGTCAGGATTGTGGTCCACGAAGGAGGTGTCAAAGCCACTTTCATAGTGTGCCATGCACAGCACTGGGGCAGGGAGGGGGGAGGTAGCAGATGGGCATGGGTCTTGGGAATAGGGGAGAGGGTAGGATGAGGGAATGGGGCAGGGATGGGTTTGTGTTTGTTTGTTTGCTTTTTTGTTTTTTGGGTTTTTTTGCGGTACGCGGGCCTCTCACAGTTGTGGCCTCTCCCGTTGCAGAGCACAGGCTCCGGACGC